AAAGGTGTGTCCAGCGGGCTCATATGACCTTATGCAGTTGCGAGCGCCGTAAAACACTTGCCAAAATAACACAAACAAACAAAAAACAGTCTTAAATATGATTTCACAATATATCTCTCCGCCAGTGTCGTTCCAACGCAATTTTAGTCCTGAACATACAGCTTGTTTGGCATATGCCACTACACTATGATTCACACAATATTACATTTTTATTGACTGCTATGTACTCATATACAGCTGGGTGAAGCAAAGGAGATAAAGTACAGTATTTTTCGCAAGGTTGCATCTTGTATGGATGCAGGGAATCGAATTCCCAATTTTATTAATTCAAACCCAAAGCTTAATCCTATCCGTACGTCGTGTTTTACTATAGTATCCATACGACGAGGGGAACTCTGTGCCCCCACTTTCCAAAAAGGAAATTTACTCGTTAATCCAAATCCGTACGCTTTGCATAGCAGTCTGTACGTCAAAATGATTTTTTGAGAAATACTGAAAGTTTCAAAGAGATCTTCGCTCTGGAAGTATTCTAAAATGTGAAGAATACAACCCCTGGGGTATAAAGTTAAACGACCCCAGGCATACGGCTAGGGTTAAGAATTACTGTTCGACTTGAATACACAAACAATCCATTTAACTTGTTGTGGTGCTGTAAATTACAACAGAATTTATCCACATTCTCAGGTGTGTATGAGGAGCTCGGAGCCTGGAACTACCAGACCTTGGTGGACATCAGAGGAATCAAAGAGCTCTATATTGTGGATGTAGGTTTGCTTGACTTTTTATAGATTTGAACAAATACCAGTAGTGAATTATAATTAAATTATAATAATGTGATTGCCCTCCCCATTTGATATTTTGTAATGCCGGTAACGCTGTTGGTAATACATGTAGCAAATTTGTGTGAACAGACTTTCATCTTGAGATTTTTTTAAATTTTGCAGCAATAATTTTTTTTCTGGAAAAAATGTTATTATTCTAACTATTAAAAAAACCCAACAGCAACCCAACAACAATAATGATGATGATGTTGATGACGACAAAGATCATGAGGATGATGATTTCAGCCACAAATTCATCAATAACAATGACAGCAACAACGATGTCTTTCCCTAGGTTTCCCCAGCCAGTCATGTGACTCTTGGTGCTAACCTGACTATCGCAGACCTGATAGCTAAGCTGGACGGAGACCTCAGTGACCTGGCGTATGCCGACACCTTCAGGAGACATTTGAAGCTTGTTGCCTCAAATACTATCAGAAATGTAGGTAGATTCCTTTGCTGTTTTGTCATAAATGACGTAACTGTGTCATATAGATGTTTGCCATTACTAAAAGAAATACATGTATAATGTTAGGTGGCTGCTGTTGTTAAGTGCTTAACCCTATCCCTACGCCTCGGGGGCATTTTGTACCCCCGGGATTGCATTCTTCACATTTTAGAATACTTCTAGTACAAAAATCTCTTTGGAACCTTCAGTATTTCTCAAAAAATCATTTTGACAGACTGCTATGCAAAGCGTACGGATCGGATTAACAAGAAAATTTCCTCTTTGGAAAGTGGTGGCACAGAGTTCCCCATATCGTAGGGATAGGCCTAACTATAGTAAAACACGACATACGAATAGGGTTAATGAGATAATTATTGTGTACTCAGTTTACTCTAGCTTTTGTTATATTTAATACATCGTCATTGTTATTTAACAAATTGTCAAATCAATTTGTTGTTTTTTTCATTTGTTTTTTTCAAGAGTCAAAAACATAACTATTTATTTGGTTATAATATACTCTTTTTTTTATTGTTGCCTTTACTGTTCCCCTTTCCATTTGAATTTCAATATCCTACAGAAGGCCTGTTGTTTTTATGCATTCAATGAATTAAATAATTTTTTTCCATCAACAGGTTGGGTCTTGGGCAGGAAACATCATGGTCAAGCATGCTTATCCCAACTTTGCATCTGATGTCTTCACCTTGTTAGAGACAGTAGAAGCCAGACTCAACATTGGTAGGTACAGCTGTGTGGGTTTTTTTACTGTTCTTTTTAATGCCTGGTCACTCAGCTTACATGCATGGCAAAAATTATTATTACATTTGTATTAGTAGTAGTTAGTAGTGGTGGTGGTAGTAGCAGTAGTAGTAGTAGTAGTAGCAGTAGCAGTAGTAGTAGTAGTAGTAGTAGTAGTAGTAGTAGTAGTAGTAGTAGTAGTAGTAGTAGTAGTAGTAGTAGTAGG